TAGGAGCACCCAATGCTGTTGTCTGTAAAGGACTGGGAGGCATCACTTATTCTTGCGCCCCTGTCGCAGGTGACTAGGTGGCATGGGTCAAGCCACCAGTCCTCAGGTCCCTGATGTGGGTAGGTGAAGACCCTGCTTAATGGGTAGAGCAGTGTCAAATGTCATGAACCTGCCACTTCACAGCTGAAAGAGTTGAAATTAGACTTCAGGTATATATACCCTGTTGTACTGTGGTAATGAGGGCCTATCTGTTGAAATGGGCCCACACAAGTCTCTGCTGGGGGAAAGGATCCCTTATGCCTGTGCATAGGTAAAGGATCTGTGCCTACCCTGGGTTCCTGGCTTAGGGGAGCCAGCAGATTATTTTCCCCGTTTGATTATTTGTTCCCTCTCCAAGGCTGGGAGAATGGCTCAGGGTTCATGACAGGTCCTACTTCCGGCCCAGGGGACTCGGCAGTCGCTGAAGCCATCCTAGACCCAATGCAGAGCAGGGAGCAGGGAGGTAAATGGGAGAGAGGTTTTTCCCAAAGGGGGGTGTTTTTGACCTGCACAGTAGGCCAGACGCAAGTACACATCTTTCGCCAATTGAGGGCTACTTCTCACTGGTTCTGGATGCCCGAGTAGACTCTCTGCTGCTGGGTCTCTCCCAATGTGGAAAATGCCTCCTTGAGCGCAGCTGCTTACCTCACCATGCACCACAAGCTGATCTGGCCTGAAGGGCTCGGCTCCCACTGGGTCAGGTTTGGCAACTCCTTGCTGTTTCTGACCCATCTCTCCCTTCCCCTGCCACTCAATCCGATTCCTCAACTTTGCCTTTGATGTTCAGGGCTCCTAGGTTGTCATATATAATCGATTGACTTGTTTTTTCAGGTCTTTGTTGTAAGAGGGACCACCAGAAGCATCTGACTACTCTGCCATCTTAGCCCGGCCTCTATTTTATTTAATTTTTATTAACTTAAATATAAATAGCCACATGTGGCTGGCTAGTGGTTACCATATTGAGCCTCACAAGTCTGGACTGTATTCCATCTCCTCCTCTGATGCAGTTATGCTATCCTCACCTGTGAGGTCGTGCTTTTCACTGGAATGGCATCTATAGATGTGATATATCAGGTGTATGAAATCCGTGGAGTCCCTGGGTGGTTGAAATGATTAACTCACTCAGCTGTTAATTGAAAGGTTGGAGGTTCAAGTTCAGAGGCACCTCAGAAGAAAGTCCTGGTGATCTACTTCTGAAAAAAATTAGCCATTAAAAACACAACGGAGCACAGTCTTACTCTGACACACACGGGATCACAATGAGCTGGAGTTGACTCCATGGCAAACAGATTCTGGTTTTTGTTTTTGAATGGAATCTGGAAGTGCAAATGCCACCATGTTACCACCAAAAATTTTTTTAAATCTTTTTCTGTTTGAGATCCCTAGTATGCAAGCATAGGATTGAAGTGGTAACATTTTTCAAGTGTGCCAATACTTTGCTGTTTCTGGAATAAATGAGCCTAAGATTACAGTGGCTTTCTTAATTCTCCTTCCAAAAATTTCAGATAACAGTAAAAACAAATAATCATTGATGATCTATTTTGCACTGAGAGCTAGTCTCTGAAACGTGATCTAGTGGGCAGAGTTCTTGATACAAGACAGAAGACCTAAGGTCTGGTCCCATCTGCTGGTCATTTCACTCAAAAAACTCAGAGTGTAGTAGAAAACTTATAAATATAAAGAAATAAAGGAAAAGCTGTATGATAGATGCTATAATGAAGCTATACACCCACTCCTCACTTATCGACATGGTTAAGTCCCAAAGACCAGGTCGCTATGCAAAAATTGGCATTATGTGAAAATGGAGGATGACTATATCATTACGTAACTGCAAAATTGCATCACTACGTAACTGCCAAATTACATCAGTACATAACTGCCAAATTACATCAGTACATAACTGCCAAACCACTGAGAATCATGGCCCGGCCAAGCTGACACATAACCTTAACCATCGCAGCCAGTGTTACTCTTGCCTCCCACCTCGGCGTTCATTACTGCTAGATGTACATCATTAACGTGAAAAATAGTCAGATAGTAGATTTTATACTATCGTCCTAAATGCAAGATATTGGATAACAAGATAGTAGGTAAGTGAGGAGTAGGTGTATAAACATACAATGTAGACACAAAAAAGAGTGTCTGAACTCTGGCTGGCAAGGTCAAAAAGGGTTTGCGAAGGAGCATCTGAATGTTGGGTATGGCCTTTAGCAAACTGGACCATGGGTTTCCTCTCGTCAAACAGGAAAAATGAATCTGTGACATCTACTTTACCAAGTTGTGAGATTCAAGAAGAGAGGATGTATGGATTAGCTTTGTGGATTAGAGCTTTTTTCTTTGTGGATTAGAGCCTTGTTAAAATTGTAAAGGATTAGGAATTGTCTATAGTTTTTTCCTAAATACCTCCCCTCTACCTTTTACATTTTGTTTTCAATGATGCTCATTTTTACTCTGTTCTATAAAACTTTTCTTCTCTCATTTTCCCCCACTGCCTCCAAATATACTTTTGAGTATCCTCACCAGTAAAGCTGGACAAGGCAAAATTTAGACAAAGAAAATTAGCTATATTGAAATGTTGCCTTTTTTCTGTGTGCTAACATCCAGCTGGCTATGGAAATAATGTTGTGTTCATTCAGATTATCTCAATAAATTGGCCCCTTTAATAGAAATTCCTAATTCACATCTGGTAAGAAAACAATGGTTAGAGTTTTAATAAAATATAGTCTGTGAAATTGTGTGTCTAGAATCTTATGTAAATGACTTTGATTGAATCTGATTTTCCACAGGAAACATACAACACATTAGTCCTCACTATTAACTTCCATCTTCATTATAATTGCATTCATTCATCTAATAAATATTTATTGAGCACCTACTGCATGTTATATACTGGAGATAGAACAACAAACAACACATATGCCCTAGCTCTTGTGGATAGGCAAGTTAACAAGGAATACAGAGAATTACGGCCGTGAGCACAATAAAGTTAAGTAAGTGTTGAAATGTCAGATAATCCAGGTGTGAAATGAGAGCACAGAGTAGAAGACAAAATCCAGTCTAGGGAGAAGGAAAGGTTTTCCAGAGGAAGAGATTTTAAATTGAGAAAGAAGAAAAAAAGAGGTCGGTAAGAGAAAGAAGACAATTATGGATATCCTAAGATAAAATCCTTTTGTGTATGTGCTGCGTGAGTTGGCAGAAAGAGGAGGAGGTAAGCTCTATGTAACAGAAAGAGAGAACCTACTTGGGTTATGAAAATCAGATACACTTGAGTTAGCTGACAGAGCCATTGAGTATTTACTTTTGATTGATTTTTAAATACTTCTCTTCCATGTGTCACTCAGCTAAACAGTGGGTGTTGCTGTTAGCTGCTGTGGCGTCAGCCCCCCATTCATGGCAACCCCATGCACCGTGGAATGTTGCTGGGTTATGATCTATTGGGTTTTCATTGGCTGAGTGTTAGAAGTAGATTGCCAGGTCTTTCTTCCTAGTCCATCCTAGTCTGGAAGCTTCTCTAAAACCTGTTCAGCATCATGGCAATTCACAAGCCTGCACTGACAGATGGGTGGTGGCTACACAGGAGGTACATTGGCTGGGAATCAAACCTGGGTCTCCCATATGGAATAGGAGAATTCTACCACTGAGCCACCAATGTCGCCCATGAACATTGGGCAAGAGAAGGTCATTTCTGATTATATACATCCTTTTATCTATTTAAAGAGATGTGGGTGGCTAGCTCAGAGGGAGGGCTGCACAGAAAAATGTACATCCTGTAGCCAAAAGGGATTTCTTTCTCCTTGTAAATCTAATGGAATGTTGGAAACCTGTTTGCAGGTTGTACTTGCCCCCATTTTACGAGTGGCGAAGCAATAAAACAACCCATGGGAATTTCCCACGCTTCTTGGGTTTGGCCCCTCGTGCTCACGATTTCAAAGTTGGTGTCCAGGTAGCTAAGCCTACTTGTGGCATGCATCACGCTGTGCATCTTTCTGTGATGTGTCGTTGTCTCAAGCTCTCTCTATACATGGATTTAGTAAAGGAAATATAACTTCATTTGTTCATTCAACAAACAGGGGGCTCCTGCTAGAAGCCAAGTGGTGAGCTAAGTTCTCTTATCTCTCAGCAATAATTCAGACAATAATTTTTGGACATTTCTATAAATGTACATTGTGAAATGTATGAACACAGTGAAAGGAAGGGTGTTTTCTTCGGTTTAAGGGCTTGAAAATAAAAATAAACATATAAACACATACCTGAAACAGGAAAACAGCATGAAAAATATCCTTCCTGTTAGCAAAGATTTGAATACATGCTTCCGGTCTCCATGGCAGCCCAACCAAACAGAAAAATAAGTCAGAGCAGTGGCTTTTTAGATCAATGACTTGCTTCCCATGCAATAAGACTGGGAGGAACCAGTGAGAAAATAATGACTGTCCTACTTATGAAAACTGTACGATTTATCAGATTGTCTACACCAGAAGGAATATCATTTGAACATAATGACACAAAATTGGAATTTATGTTATCATTTTGACAATACCTGTCTCTAGATTCCTTACGCTTTTTTTAAATATTCATTTTAAAAATGTGCTAAACAGACCCTGTTTTTTCTACATCTCACTTATTCTAGCAAATGTACTTAGGAGATTGCCTTAACATCGTTTTAGCAGGAGAAACCTCTTAAAAATAAAATAAAGAGCAACAAAAAAATACAGCTTTTGGAACTCCAAAACCGGTGTCTAAGTGAACTATACTGTTGGCCTCATAGGGAATGTTCTGAAGTTTTCCGCTGACCTCCTAGAAGAAAGAAAGAAAAAGAGGAAGGAATGAAGGCTAGCAAAGAAAGGAGAGGAAGGGGAAGAAGGGAGGAAAGGAGAGAGGGAGGGAGAGAGGAAGACAGAGAAGAAAGCAAGAGAAGAGGAAAGAAAAGGATCGTTTGCTGACCCTGTTGTTTTGTTTTACAGAATGATTCAATACCTCAAGAGGATTTCACTCCAGAAGTGTACAGAGTTTTCCTGAACAACCTTTGCCCTCGACCTGAAATTGATAACATCTTTTCTGAATTGTAAGAGGACACATTTTAACCTACTTCTCTGGGCTGGCAGTGGTAGCTAGGGAGGGATTTTGAGCAGTAGTCCAGGGAGAGGAAGGAGCATCTTCGCACACCGTGTATGATAGCAGTGCTCTTGTATAATCTGTTCCAGATGATCACGCATTCTTGCACCTGAGGTGCAACTACTGCTTTTAATGAGTGGAAGTTTGTTGTGATTTATTTCTGGGTGTAGTTCTTTTAGTATCCTCTGGTGACTCTTGAGTGGTTTGAAGATTATGAACAGAACAGGCAGGCATCTTGGCTTAGTGGAGGCAGACTTATGTAGCAGAAAGAACTCTGGACTGAGTACCAGCCATTTTTCTTCTCTGAATATAAGAAAAGAAACAAGTAAACAAAGCAAAATAGCAAGGCAAATGGGGGGAATTAGTAATTTCCTTTTCTGGATGTACTGAAATCTACACAGTAGCAGAAAATCAGTCCAAAATCTGTCAAAAAGAATTAGGGTTTCTTCATACAGAAGAATATTTTTACTTTGCGATGCTCATTGCCATCAAATATATATTAAACATCTGCAACATTTATATCATTGAACTTGTTTTTGGGTTGTCACTAAGGTTGGAATGGGAAGTTTGAATCATGTTTAAGAGTTATATATAGACTCTTGTTGAAGCAGAATTTTGAATGAAAGGAAAAATGTGGCCAAAAAGATTGCTTACTTTTTTTTTTAAATAAGAAACAAATACAATTTTAAAATTTTAAGTGTGGTATGAAAATTTGATGACTAAGCCAAAAGTTTGGTGTCATATACAAAAAAACGATCCATACTTCAGTGTTCATTTTAGAGTGGTGTATCCTTACATACAGGAAACCCTGCTGGCATAGTGGTTAAGTGTTTGACGGCTAACCAAATCATCAGTAGTTTGAATCCACCAGGAGCTCCTTTGGAGCAGTTCTGCTCTGTCCTATAGGGTCGCTATGAGTAGGAATCGACTCGACAGCAATGGCTTTTTGGTTTTTTTATCCTTACATACAGGATGTAGTGTTTCCTACTGTGGGTTTTCTTAGGCATTTGGTATTATTCAGGGGCATTGGGATTTAATGGTGATGATTGCAAAAGATATTTGTATCCTGTATACATACAGAAATTATGCTGGAGTAGCACAGAGTTTTTAAAACAATAGGAATTTCAGTACAGGTAGTCCCCCATCTATGACGGGGTTCTATTCTGACGACTGTGTCATAAGTCATTTCTGACGTAAGTCAAATACCTCATTTTTTTTTAAGTTTTCATTATTACTGCCTTTTATTATCATTGTCTTTATAAATACAATCTTTATTTGTCTTTGGGGAGTGGAAACATTACATATAAACTTACAGATATATTTGAATACATACATAAAAAACAGACGAACCATAAAAATTTAATTGATGATAAAGAAGAGCTGGATGACATTGGCATTTTGTCAGTTATGGTAATAACTCCATTTGTGGAAGGTTCTGGATTATCTGGATTATCCCTGTGAATGGGGATGACGTTTACGTTACTAGTCAGAAAATTAGTGGGAATTGTCTGTATTGTCCTTTTCTTTTTTCTTCATATATTTCAGAGTAACATCTCACTGCTCCCTGAATCTGCCTATTGACTTTAGCAAATCGATCAGCATTTGGGTCCATGTTTTCAAGCAACTGAAGCCCCCGATTTAGTTTAGAAAAAACCTCAGCTAATGCTTTCTCTGTAAAATTTTTTGACAACTTCTCTCCTTCCTCTTCCCCACTGTTTATTTCTTCTTCAGGGCTTCTTTCCTCTTCAGAATTCATTAAGTCCTTATCTGTCACTTCTCCTTCTTCATGATCTATGAGCTGTTCCACATGGGCAATATCAAGTTCTAAATTCAGCATTCTTGCCATATGGACAATTTTTCTACAGATCTCTTCCATCATATTATCCTGATCAAACGCTTGGAGTGTGTTCACACTCAGCAATTTCTTCCATATCCCCTGCATGCATTTTCCCATAACTTCCTCCCAGGAAGATGTACTAATGATAAGATATACCAAAAAAAAGGACAGCTGTAAGTGCAGTTTGTCGTAACTCGAATACGTCATAAGTTGGGGACTACCTGTAGAGCATGCTGTTATCTGGTATGTCAGGATTTGCTATATGCAAACATGTGAATGAGGCTTGGTGGAAATATTCTAATTTCTTGGTTTTTGTTGTTTTTAGTGGTGCCAAAAGTAAACCATACCTTACTGTTGATCAGCTGATGGATTTTATCAACCTTAAGCAGCGAGATCCCCGATTAAATGAAATTCTTTACCCACCTTTAAAACAAGAGCAAGTCCAAGTATTGATTGAGAAATATGAACCCAACAGTGGCCTCGCCAAAAAAGGTCAGTACACTTTGTTTAACGCCATAAGGAAACTCTTGTAACTGTGAATGTGTCACAACTTGGCAGTTAGCAACATCAGGATTATTTAGGTTAGTTTCCCTCATTTGTATGCCTGCTTTCCTTTCTGTCTTAAACCACTCTGGTTCAACATGAAGTAGTTTGTTTTTTTAACTTTGGGTTATGATTTTTTTTATTACTATGTATGTGTATAACATTTTTTTTAAATTGTCCAATCATTTGTTTTGTTTTAAATTTACCCAGTGACTGAATTCATCTTTCTCAGGCAGGAAATTTACTATTAAATACATCAGAGTTTACCCTTTTGGGTCTGTTTCTAGAAGTTCTGTAAAATGGCCCACAGATTCTTCTACCTTTCTCTAAAATTGAAGAGAATGTTTTGTCCCCTATATTCTTATTTTATTGTAGTCTGCATTATCGCATGAATTTTTCCACCTAAGGTAACATTCTAAAATTTGAATTTCTATGTAAAAAATTTTAGTTTTTGTAAAAAAAAAATTAGTCCAAAAATTGATGCTAAAAAAAGCAACTCTGAGTTGCCTAGAAATTGTTCAGAAATTTGTATTTTTGATTCAAAAGAAACAAATTGCCAAAGTAAGATAGTGAGTGTTTAATTGCTGGAAGTTTTCAATTACGTGTGGCATCCTTGTCCCTGAACAAGACCCTCAGGTGTGTTTCTATCCCTAAACCAGATGTCATCTGGATGGAAATTGGTTTGTTATCACTGATGTATTATAAATTGCCTAGACATTCCATAGGGAGGAAAGTAAAGCACAATTAGCCAATTATTAAGAAGAATCAATTGCATGTTAATATTCAGGCAGCTTATAAAGCAACAAAAATAGCTCAAGCAAGATTATAGTCATTAATAAGAACAGTTATCAAAAAGTAGATTAAAATAAGTCTTTTAACACATTGTGCTTATTCTAGAACTGGTCCTCGAAATGGAAAAGGAAAGTATTTATTAAGTATAAATATAAAACCATACAAATTAATTTTATTCAGTGTGTGATTAGTCTGAAATTTATAGATAGCACTTCTTTAGTTTTTATTTTTGTGTTCAAGCTCTTCATTTTTGTTGTTGTCATCATGCTTTGTTGCCTTGGAGACAGGTCAGTCATAGGAAATTTACCCAACAGTGCTTCCTGGGTTGCCAGGCCTACCCTCTAAACCTGCTTAAATATGGCACCCTTTCTTGCCAAGTGCCTAGAGAGACAGGAGTTATGAACCGACAGGCCAAGAAGGCCTCTTCAGAAGCCCCTCCTTTCTTAAGCAATTTTAGGAAAAGTTCTTCACCACAATTTAGTGGTGTTTAACTTCTCTCCAATACAGAACTCTTCTCTGCTTTTGCTGATAATGATTTCTGTTTATCATGAAGTAGGGAGCAGCTTCTTGAAGAAGGCCAAAGATTTGTCCTGGTTGGCTTGGCAGTTTCCTTCTGAAAGCAGCACTTCACCAAAAATAAGTAATATAGGGCTATAACAAATCCAGTGACACTTCTAAAAGTGGATAGTCCGTGGCATCAGGAAAACAAAAGCCTTTTTATGAAACCAGTGAGGCCTTCTAAAACATAAACTTTGCCCTTTTCTCCACCCTTCACACCACACTGCTGATGGCCTATGCTTCAGCTGGTACATGATACCTCCATACATCATACTCGGATGACTTGGATGAAGTAAAGGCTACAAAGGGGAAAAAATGCAATAAGTTATTGCAAAACTAGTCTACTCCTAGAAGAACCAATTTTGATTCTAATGGAAATTAAGATGATGTCTCTTTGCAGTTGCAAGATTATTTATTACTACCTTATAGGTGTTCACTCCACTGCTGTCAAGTCAATTCTGACTCATAGCGACCCTATAGGACTGAGTAGAACTGCCCCATGGGGTTTCCATGGCTATAAATCTTTACAGTAGCTGACTGCTACATCTTTCTTGTGGGTTCGAACTGCCGATCTTTTTGGTTAGCACCACGAGGGGTCTCTTGATACTGTGTGCCTGTTTTGAATGTGGAATTCATACTTTTATAGGTGTGCCCATTGCCATATACCCATTGCCGTCGAGTCTTCTCCAACTCATAGCAACACTATGGGTGTAGTAGGTATGAATTCCACATTCAGAACAGGCAAACAATGTTCAAGAATATTTAAAAAGACGACTTTCTTATTTTTCTATAACTCAAGATGATATTGATCATGAAGTCTCTGTCTGCCTTAAAAGCAGGATAAATAGTGGCTACAGGCATAGTGTTTTTAGCCTGACTGCCTAGTTTCAAAGCTAAAATCCACCACTTATTAGTTGTATGATCTTGAGCGAGTTATATAACCTTCTGTGCCTTAGTTACCTCATCTGCAAAAGTGGGAGGAGGTTTCTCATTGTTCTGTTGTGAATTTGAATTTGACAATACCTGCAAAGCGCTTAGAAGATGTGTCTGGCACTTTCAATGTGTTGAATCAATGTGAACTTTTCTCTCATTGTATTGGAGTACAGTGTGTTCGCTTTAATGTAGTAGATGTTTCCGTTTACTTTAGCCTATGCTATCAAAAGATTGCTGGGTCTCAGACTTTCTTTTATTTCCCCCAACACTTAGAAGATGGACCTGCTTATAATGAAATACTCAGTGTAGACATGTAGGCACGATCTAATCATTGACATAAAGCATTTGTGCCCCCCAGCTTATCATTTAAGAAGGGCCCCTGCTGGTCTCTGTGCACCATGTCCACCGAAAGCCTCATCTAGCACATGGCAACCACAGGGGCATTGACTTCCAACAGCCAGAATGTGGTTAGAAAGCCAGCTACCTACTAGTACACAGGATCCACCTTCTGTCACCCTAGGGGACTCTAGTGCCAATTTGGCAGGTCTGGCTGGCTAGATCTGATCTATAGCCGTTTCCCCTCCAAACTCCATATGGGGGGAACGCAGCTCTTGAGTCAAGCAGAAGCAAGTAACCAAATTACAGAAGACCTTAGTAAGTCACTTCCACCCTAAGACATGTACACAAAAAGGAGCTCATGATACCTTCGATGTACAGGAGGCATTCAATAAATGGTGTAAATTATTATCGTCATTTAAAGCAAGCCAAATAGTACTGGAGGAATCAAAACAATCTCTGGTGTTCTAGTCTTGCAAACTCAAACTTAGGAACAAACCTCCTGTTTTCAGCCATTCATGCCTCTGATGCTCCGTAAATCTTTAGTGAAAGGCAAGGGGCTATGGACTGTGACAGATACACAGACTGATGCTTCTAGGTGCTTATACACTAAAAAAATAAAAAATAAAAAAGATAAGGCTGTAAATACCTAAATGTCATTACTATGCTTCTCAAACTCTAATGAATCTCCTGGGGGTTTTGTTACAATGCAGATTCTGATTCAGTGGGTCCGGGTGCAGCCTGAGCTTCTGCATTTCTAACAAGCTCCTGAGTGATGCTGAGATTGCTGTTCTGAGAACCAACTTTGAATAACAAGGCTATAAAAGGTAGAGAGAGTGCAGTAAGTGTGAAGATGGAGAGATTCCTTCCTGCAGGGAAGGTTCATGGAAAAATCATTTGGACTGAACTGATTTCAAGAAGGATGAGCTGGAGATTTTCTAGGGAAAGGGATACCATTCTTATATTCATTCACTGACATTTCTCCAGCACTGTTATCTATTAGGCACCAGGAAACATAATTTAGAACCTTGAAGAGCTCAGAGTCTGAAGAAGCCTGAGGAGAAGCAACTACATTTGGATGTAGGGCCCAGTCAATTGTTTTTCTGAATTTTTGGAGAGTTCCTCATTAGCTGCATAGACCCATTGTCATCGAGTTGATTCCAACTCACAGAGACCCTGTAGGACCCAGTAGAACTGCCCCATAGGGTTTCCGAGGAGCGGCTGGTGGATTTGAACTGCCAGCCTTTTGGTTAGTAGCCGTAGCTCTTAACCCCTGCACCACCAGGGTTCCTAGCTGAATAGAGTAAACCTTATTTTTCAATTATAGCATTTTTATTTCCTAACCCAAAAATTCCAGTAAGAAAATGATGTTGAACTTGAAATACTTCACACTAAGTCATTTTCTTTAGTGCTTTTGCTCGGTTTATGTGAAGAAAGACTAGAGAAGATTGTTTTATTGTGTTAAACTATTATTTCATAGTCAAAAGCATAGCAATCTGGGAATCTTTACTTGTAAGACTAAGAAATTGCTGGATTAGACATAAATTCTGTAGTAACTGAAAGTTTGAAATATTTTTTTCAAACGTAAAAATCAATATTTTAAACTGATTTCACAATTCATAACATTCGATGTTTGACTTTAAGATTTTTTTTCAAGAACTTCTTTTTGTGGCTTCCTTTTTTATCTGGTGATTACAAGTAAACTCCAAAAAGATACCACTTACTTAAGTATGATTTTACTGAAGTTCGATTTTGATAGCACAGTGAGTATGGATCAGCAAAAAACTCAAAAAAAAAGAAAAAAACAGTTGCTTTCGAGTTGATTCTAACACATGACAATCCCATGCGTGCAGAGTAGAACTGCTTCATAGGGTTTTCATGGCTGTGACCTGTTGGAAGCAGATCGCCAGGCCTTTCTTCCAAGGCACCTCTGAGTGGGTTCCAACCACCAGCCTCCTCATTAATAGTCAAGTGCTTAACCATTTGTGCCACCCAGGGGCTCCAAGCAAGAAAATTAGTTTTCACTTATTACGTGATATTCAAAATGAACATTATCATTTTACAAAGAAACAAACCGAGGTTTGAGGTCAAGCGACTTATCTAAGATCACATGGCAAGATGCTGTCTGAGAAAGCAGAGTTTGTAACTGTCAGTCAAGTAGTTTATACATTCTTATCAACAGATACATAACAAAATAAGTAGGGAACTTTAATATTACATGACAATTTTTTTTTCTACTGCTTTCCTTTCGGCTAATTTCTCAAGTGTTCCCAAGCATTAATAAATCGGTGTTTCTCTCAGTGCTGACCCACAAACGCAATCTCATTTAT